AGAATTGCTGGATAAAGTATGTTAGGCTCAGATTTCCTTTGATAAAATAAAGCAGTGACAGGTAAGCTACACTTAGGAAAAGTCTTAAAAGAAAACTTTCTTAGGAAAGGAGTGTTCGAGTGTTCTAAGCAGGAAAAAGTTACTTCCCTGCAGACCTACGCTGCAGAATCAGGATCCAGAACGAAGCGTTCTCCCTCCAGATGTCTCATGTTTCTGCCCAGGCCCCTCAGCAGGGGTGGTAAATCTGGGAGAGCCCCACGACGTGGACACAGCAACAGAGCTGGCACCATCACCTCCAGGACTTCCTGCTCTACCTGGAACTGCCACGAGCAGCCCTTGGATTTGATAAAATGATTAAATAAAGATGTGATTATAGTGGATTTCTGCCAGCCCACAATCTCTGGAAGTATCAGCAAGCCAGGACAGACAGCTATTTCACGCTGTTAATGGAAGGCAGCTAGTGCTGGCTCCAGACAAAACTTCTGCAAGGCAAAGGGGCAGTTTTACCCACCAGCCGGCAGTGGGGAATGGATGGTCCGGCTTTCAGCAGGTATGATAAGTGGGGTGCTGAGCCATGAGTCACCACTAGCTTCCCTTGCTACTGTAAGCACGGCTTCTTCGGGAAGCTGCCTTCTAAGATAACGCTGGCCGTAGGATAAACAACTGACAGCATTCCTGCAGTTCTCACTCACTACTTCATTCCTACTGACTTGAAAAGCAATTGCAACTTGCACTGGTAGGGAAATAAAGATGATTCATTTTAATCCAAGCTAACACAACAAAAGAATAAAGAGGGCAGAAGATGTGAAATAGAAAGATAAAATTAAAAAGGAACCACTTGTACTAAAGACATTACGTTTAAATTAAAAAGATATGTTGGTGTTTAATTTAAAGAATGAAAAATAATGAAAACAAATTGAAATAAATCTTAAAGCCATTGTAATTCCAAGTAACAATATTCTCTAATTGTTTAATGAGTTCATATTGCAGATGCAAAATGTACAAAGGTCTTCTCAAGGGAAAAAGAAATTATTTAAAAAAAAACAAAATAACATTCAGAGGGAATAAATAATCCTTTGTAAAGAAAGAAGTAAAAAAAAACCAGAGAAACTTTAAGAAAAATTAAACTCTGGCTTTGTCTTACTCTTTACAGTTTTTTAAAAAAAAAAGGTATATTGCAAATATCATTTGTTCTTAAACTATTTGTGATGCTAATTTAGCAATCAGCTCCCTGCTCCTGGGCACAGATACCATGTGAGTGTGCTCTCCATCCCATGGAAAAAGCTGTGGTGTTCCCACAGCCTGACAATTGTAATTCTAATAATCAGATTTCCAAGAACCATCCACATATATAATATACCCAGCCCCTGTCACTGCTGAATTAAGCAAATTATAAGATAGGCAAGAAACCAAATGCATTTTAAGTGATAAAACCACTTTCATTTGTAATTCTGTAACTACGGTGCTGCTTAGTCCTTTTCCCCTTCTGCTGTCTTTTAATCTCAGCTCAGATATCAACTGTCAACTACAGCGCTGTGTTAATGGATTTCAGACCTGTGTCCATAACTCCAGTGACAGGAGTAGGATTTAAAGAAGACACAATTTTAAACAACAAAAAAAGATTTTTTCCTCCAACTGCAGTATTGCATAATTTTAACATGCTCTGATAGAGAAAAAAAAAAAAAAAGATTGTCCAAAAAATAAGTCTGAATGGGAGCCAAGTGTAAGCTGGCAGGGAGCCGTCCGACAGTGTAAATGCTCATTTGTCATCTCAGGGGAGTGTTAACTCCAGCACCTGGTTACTGCAATTTAAATGTCACCAAGGTAATTCTGTCATGGCTGATTTAAGCGTAATTAAAATCAATTGTTAATCACTTTAAGTTTCATTTTGCAGTGGAAATTTCCCAAAATATAGATTTTCTGAAAGATATAGTTGCCATGGGATTTTTGGTGGAATGTTTTTGTAAAATAAAGCACTTCCAAGTTTTGGTTGCTATTTTGTTATTTCTGGGTTTTCCTCCCTTTCTTTCCACTTCATCAATTATATTCTCTAGAATGACCAGTGGGGCATTTTTTTAGATCACTACTACAGAGATCGACACTAACACTTCAGGTAACAAAGTGATTTGAGTTTGATTTAATAGGCATGCAAAGAAGAGAAATCCAGAGCACTATTTCTTCATGGGTTTTTTTCTTAATGTAGTCCAGAGTGGAAATTATGCTTTAATGAAGGGAAATACCAGTGATAAAGTACCAACAACAATAACCATTTTTTTCAACAATAACCCTGTTGATACAACAGCAAGATCAGCTGAAGGTGAAAGGAAAAATATTTCTTGGTCCCTGGAATATTAGGAGGCATGATCGATTTAGATAGATCACAACAGTATTTCAGTTACCTACTGGCGCTGAATGCACATCCTTTTCTCCACCACACGTCTGACTCAATTATATTTAATCATTCTACACAAATACAAGTTAGATTACTTATAAATTAAAACTCTGCCAGATCCATCAGTGAGTAGATCTCCTCCCTCCAGCCATTGAGTGGGTTATTTCAAAGGTGCTTAAAGTTGCATTTCCAAAGAAAAGGTAAGCACTGACACAGCAAATCATCAATGTTAGATCCACTCTTCCTTGCACCAAGCCATCTCTGTGTCAAATGATACTTACAGATGATGCTTGGGTGACTTTAGACCAGTTTACCTGACTGCAGTTTAGTTGCATCATGAAGATACTGAAAACAGATTAAAATTCAGACATGCAAGAATTATTGCAACAAGGCTGCCCTTTCTTTTCCTTATTCTTTGTCAGGAGGAGGAACTAAGTAGGTGGCCCCACCAATAAGGGATAGATCTCTGCTTTCCTTGGCTAAAGAATTTGGCAATTTGAAGTCTACAATATCTAATTTTCTTTATGGGAAAACAAAGATTTAGCTCTTCTGGAATGAATGAGATTATACTGGCTCTGGGCTTTTGCATTCTATTTTTTGTTTCTGTATCCAGGAGAAACAGTCAGTGCACCTGCTGTTCACGTGCACATTCCCATCAAGGGCCAATAATATATTATATACCTTACAGTCAATCTGTGGACCTCATTTCCAATTTGAATTTTCCAAATCAGAACTTCAATTTACCTAATTTACTTCCCACAGCCATGCAGCTAAAGGTATAAATGAAAGATGAGACAGACCATCCAGTCTACACTTCTAAAAGTGTTCCTGAGATAATAGTCCTATTACATCCAATGAAGTATGAAAACTTTACCTTCAGCTTTCTGTATATTTCTCTTTGAACTTATAGCCATAGACAGAACTGATCATGCTGGAAAAAAAAAAAAAATACAAACCAAAAAAAACCAGAAACCTTGATTTTGTCTTTCCAGAATGATCTGAAAGTCAGCGGAATTTGCATTCACAAGTTCTTCAGTTATCTTTGATTCTGTCCATAGTCTAGCTAAAGGAGAATTCTAAAAATAATGGAGTTCGAATGGTTGAGAGGTTCATCTAATTGTGCTAACAAAGTAGCATTGGGTCACTGTGCATTCATCTGAACATGTCTAGTTTTACAAAAGTTCTCCCTTAACTGATTTAGTCAAAAGAATTTCAAAAACTCGTCTGTAATCAAATCATATGACACTCAGAAAGCAATCTCTAAAGCATAAACATGAGTATTTGCAGACAGCGCCAAGAAGGGAGATGCTGATGTGAAAAATATTACATTTTTCCATAATTGGGCATCTGCAGACTATCATTATCTTCCAAAGGAGTGGTTTGGTTCTGAGAAGTAAATGGCAACCAGCTAGACAACCCTCTCTATCATTTCTGATTAATTAATCCCAAAATATATTCAAAAAGTAAGTCTATTCACATGTGCATGCACAGACACAAAATCAGAGAGGTGGACACTGAATTCAAGGTGAGAGACTTTTCTAAAGAAAAATGCGTAAAACTAAATCTAGATGAATATGCAGAAAAATCTGGTTTATTTATGTAAAGAAAAATGTCAGGAAGTAACAGTCACTAGAGAGTATATTAACAACAGTCAGTAATAATCTAGCCTTGAAAACAGTAAAAGAACTTATATTTTCAGTGTGAGATTCAGTCAGGTATTGTGAACACAATTCTTACCACTGGTCTTTTTAAGGCCATCACAGTGACATGAAAAGACCATGAGAGCCCCCTTTGCAAGCTGGGGATTGATTCTTTCAGTGAGAGTATGGCAAAGGATTAAGCGCTCTTGCTTAAACCTGTGGAGGAACCTTCTGGGAATGGAGGATTCCAAGATTTCCTTGACCTGTAGGTCTTACAGGAGACCAGTCTGCAGGGACATCCCAGCAGGACTGCAAGCAATGCCCAGCCATAGAAATATCTCAGTGGGTTTTATTTCAAACCTTGGAACAGGCAAGAGAAAATAGTGACTGAGGGCTCTGTGCTCTGCTTCTCTAGTATCTCAAAGCAGAGCATGAGGGCACAGCGTCAAGGTTCAAATTTCCAACAGGAGGGTCTGGTCTTCTGCTGTGCCCATGTGCGAAGCAGAGTGTAAAGGAACCACAGTTCAGCTACAGCTATTACTATCTAATTACTGGCACTTCCCTCCTTTTTCCTTATCATGTTGGAGCACAGCATTTTTCCCAGAGTACATCAATGCCATTTGCCCATAGGACTTTCTAAGAGAGTGGCAGGGCTCATTTCCCACCAAAGGCAGAGCACTTGTTCTGACAAGGCAAGATATGCTCATTCTCAAGCAACTGGAGTCCCGTATACTTCAGATATGATTTTTCTTAGAATATCAGTGTGTACTTAGACAGTTTGCTGACCTGCGAGAAAGAACTAAACCTCATCCTAGAGTGAAATCTGAAAGAAGCAAGTTTTATGGAAGATACTAATACACACAGTCCCAAATGCTCAGTGCTATACAAGAATTCTATCATATGTAGTGAGAGGAATAAAACATAATGGGAACCATGCAGCTAAACAGCTTGCCATTCTTCCAACATACCACTTATTTATTCCAAGACTTCTAAATCTTCCATCACTGCAGCAGCTAAATTGTATTTACCACAGCTCCAGTCATATTTTCATTTTTATTAATCTTAATTCACTTTTAGTAATCCATAAATACCTGAGGAAAAATCAGAAATTAAAAAATATCAGTATTTGTAAATGAATGAAGTTTATTTCTTACGAAGCAAATATTTTCACAATGACTATGTGTAATACACATTCTTGTAAGGATGTATAGGGCGCTAGAGATTGCCCAAGTGTGTCATATTGAATTGGTTTGTTGACAGTCTGTATTAGAGGAAGTTACATTCAATGCCTGAGATCTGTAGGAAGAGTGTAAGCAACTATGGCAATCTTAATTTGGTGTTCTCATTGAAGTGTAGGCTGATGCTTAAGCAATTAGTTCTTGTATTCTCTCTTTGAGGGACTAGATTGCATTTACATGTACATTGCTTTGACTTGTCTGCACACTACAAAATTATATATTTATTTATGTACATTAAAATCTACACTTTTATATCTATTTTTATATATTGGATTTATTTATATATTGTTAGTCTTGTTATTTTAGTGGTGCTTTCATGAACCTGTAATGAAAACCCTATAGATCTGTTGGAGAATTTCATTCACACCATCTGGGAAATTTTGAACCTCGCCCTGCAGTGCTCGTTGATGATGCTAGCTCTTTAATTTAGTGGAACTATTTAGAAAATGAAATATAAAGCCTATGTAAAATGGCTTATATTGGGTCCTCTAAAAGTTTGTACAGGACCCAGTTTAGACAAAACAGGTTATAAGGAGCTCTGGGATTCATTCTTCTCATTTTCCCCTAATACTGCATTTATACTTTTTTAGCACTTTACTGTGGAAGGGAAAGAACAGTGAAAGACAGTCTATAACGGCTGAGAGATCACTGAAGACCAGAAATGCATATTCCTTCTATTTCAATAGCGTTGTTATGCCGCATTACAATAAATGGGGGGAGAAATACTTAAAACAAGAAAACTGTCTTCAAACCAGCCATGCATTTCCAGTGTGATGGATATTTTCAGGGAAGACAGAGCTTTACTCAGCATCCAGTCCCACACCAAAATTGCTATTTTACACGTCTTCACTAGAGACCAGACCCTAATACCCTTTCACTTCAGAATCAGTTCAACCAGCTTTTAGGCCTCCTCTGGCACATTTTTATCACCATGGCAGTACTCAAATGGCACTTAAATCTGGTCCACTACTTTAGGCATTTTATTGAGTCTGTGTACAATTACTCCTGAGATGTGTTTGTGTTTCGACATGATCTGCAGCTCCAGACTGCTTCTGCCATTAGAAAAATTGAACTCAGTCTATTATCACAAAGCATACTGCAAATCTGTTCTGACCTAAGATCAAATTACTGTATTTGCATAGTAATATTTCTACTTTATTCCATAATCAAGGGTATTTAAACACATTAAACAAGTAATTTAAAGTAGTACAATATTTTGCCTTAGCAATGATTTTTTTGAGTGCTACATAGATATATCAGTGAACAATGCAGGTTTTGTATACAGAGCTGACAGTTAATGGCGGTTTTCAGAGATAATTCTTTTATTTAGGATAATACTGTGTGTTGGGCTACTTTCAAAAATTCGTTTTTTCTACCAAACCTACAAATCTTTGGGGACAGCGAAAATATGTGCGCATTTGGAGCAGAGCAGTTGTCAGTTCTGCACAGGTTAAAAGTCTGACCAATATCCCAAAGTGACATTCTGGGAAATATGCAAATGATTTGTCAAGTTATTTCAGAAATAATGGTATTTGACTCAGGAAGTTTATATTAAATACAATTTACAGTGGAGTTACAGTGAGAACTTCACTTTGGCTGATGGATGATAAGAATAAAGTCCTCCACACATGAATTGAGCCTTGTGTATATATCCACACGCTACTCTCAGACAGCCTATTTCACATGAAATTCCTACATAATGCATGGTTTCATCTAACACTGATCCCAATCCAGTTGGATCCTAGATTATCAGGTTGAGTTCTTCAGCTGAAAAAATACAGTGATAATATTTACAAATATTGACTTCAGTTCAGGCTCATGAAACTTAAACACATGACATGATACCCAGAGATAACTTGGAATGTAAGGCTTCTTTCTGGACAGTTAGAGTTTGGTATTTGTGCAAAATATTTGATATATATACATTGAACTAGCGGATGGCAGAATAGGCAAATGTTTTTCATAAAGTGAACATTAATATTCATGAAATGGAGAACATTTTAAAAGTTATCCTCCAGAGTGGGAAAGGAAAAACCAAACGTGGTGGTGTCAGACTTAAAGTATTTCACTTTGGGTCTCAAAGCACTCCAAAGTGAGAGATGTTTTCACCAAAAAAAGAGGTTTAAAATTACCAAAATTATTCTTATATAAATTTTAAGAATTTCAAGAAAAGTTAATGCTGTTGTAAAGCTATTGGGGAAATCTGACCCAAAAGCGTTTAAAGATAAGACATATAGAAAGAGTAGTGAAAGAATTTTTAAGTATTTTTTAATTATATGCTTGTTTTGATCTTTTCCAGGACAAAAATATGACAAGCTCTCCTAAGACTCCCTGTAATATGTGATAAAAATACTAATATACAAAGTTAAACTGCCCTTTTTCCTGTTCTACGAACCTATGTACGCTCTTCCATTCAATTTGGTATGTTCTCCTATTGAAATCTTGTTCGCTATTGTATCGAATAAAATGTATGCCTTCATTTTAAAAGGCCTTCACAGCTTTTCCTCTCTCCATGTGATTTTTCATAGATATCTGTTAAATTCAGTATACCACCTTATATGGAGAGTTTTCCATGAATACTACAGCTATTGCAGTATTCTTTCAATCTCTTTTACTATATGAAGCTTGAAACATTCTGATTTTCATGAACTGAAATCGCTGTGAAACTGACCAGCACTGCCTCACTGCTTCTTTGTACATCTTCCTTCCGCCACCAGCCTCTATCTCCGCTCTTCGCTTGAACAGTGTTACCAGAATGTATAGCGATTAATAAATTCTGTCACATTTGAATGACATAGTTCTGACCCATCATTCTTAGGTATTAGTATAAAATAATATACTAATGTTAGAAATAATTTGAAGACTTATAGCTCAAACTATTACAATGCATTTTCTTGGATTTTGACAGAGCATTCTATCTTTTTTTCTGACTCATCTATGTTGTTAATTTCACAAACTAGGTTCTTGAAGTACAGTATAAATTAATTGCAATGCTTTCTGTAAGAGAAAACTGCTACTCCATAATATTCACAGACGGTAAATTTTTCTCAATGTACATATACAAATAAAATCATGAGAGAACTTTAGTTCTAAGCTTCTTTTCCATTGCAAGCTTATAATTTAAAAAAAATATACATTCATATTCTACAACTCTAAAGACATTGCCTTGCTTTGCTGTTATTTTTTTATTCCTTACCAACAAAAATAAATGCTCTATTATGAGGAAAAAGTGAATGTAATGCCTGCTTTCATATAACTATTTCTCTGTAGCAGCATTGTGCTGGCAGCAGCAGGTAGACAAAAATATTAGCACAATGGACTGTAAGAGCAACTACAGACCATTTCTTGTTCTTCTTAAAGCATGACATTTCTAAAATTCATATTGTGGTAACTCAGAAATGGACTTGGATCTCCCAGAATATCCCTCAGCATCATGTGAATACCTGTGGTATTTTGTTGGTTTGTCAGCTTTGTAGTCATCTAGAATAATGGCTGGCAGGGTGAGTGGAAGTGCAAGCAGGGTCGTCCACTTGGGATAAACCTCAAACAAATACTGTTTTAAAATTTTAAGCAAACTGAAAGTTAAAAATTTTGCCTTGTTTGAGTCAACACAGTTTTATCTGCATACCCTGTTTAGTTTCTGGAGGAGACTACTGGGGCCCCATGAACATTTCCCACTCCTGGGGTCTGGGTGCGGCGGTGGCTGTGACCTCCAGCAAGGAAGAGAGTCCTGTCCCTTTCCCTCACTGGGCCACAGGACAAGACTTGCTTGCTCATGGCTTCATCAAAAAGAGCCAGAAAGCATTGTCAATTCTTTCTGTTCAGACATTAAAAAACCTAGGTTTTTAGCCTCCTAAAAGAAATTATTTTCAGCTTTCCTCCAAGCCACTCTGCTGACAGGTTGTTCTCTTTGGCCATGGGCTCACAAAAGTGTTTTTCTCAGGCAATACCTGTTTGAGCAAGTCCTTCTCCCCATGCCCCATTTTTGTTTGCTGCTTCGTTTGAAACAACATAACTTTGCTTGGTGTTGCAGTAAATATAATTGAAACACTGAGCTGGGTAATAAGTCTCCAAAATTAAATTCTCTCAAGCCAATGACTCCATCAGAATGGCCACAAAGACCATCTACTCAAGGATAGGGGTGATGTGGGGACTGAGTACTAACCACTTTCAATAGCAGTGGAACCCATTTTATTCATGGTCAGGTTATTTCTAAACTTTGGAAATTCATTTCGACATAGAAGTAAGGTCTTAGGCCTTTTAATTTGAGGCGTGCTTTTTGAAACCTTGGCCATAATGCAAATTCAGTGGTATGAATAGAATAATTTAGAGTAATGCCAAACCACAAATTTTATAGAACAATATAATTAAACAATAGACCAAGGAGGGAGCTCAAGAGTATTTCTCATAAGACCTTACATTTGAATTAATTTGCAGCTGGGGGAAGGAGATATTGCTTAATATATTAATTTACTATATCTGTTAGCAGCTATGTGTTGCCTTAAAAAACAAACTATGGCGTGGGATTTTGAAAGCACTGGCTGCAATTGGAATTACTATGTAGTGGTTCTGAGTTGTTGAGTGTAATTTTAAAAAGATTGGTTATACCAAGATATTTTGTTAAAGGGACCATTATGCAAAAAGTTTTACCTAGGAAGACAGCTACCAGGCTTGCTGTGCTGCTCAACGCATCAACTTGGTACCTTGGCCAGGAGAGATGGAAGAGTATGAGTCATCCATGCATGCTGCACATAAGTGGCTGTTTTTTTATAATAGTGGTTGTCTTTCTGACTGAGATGTCGGAGCCTATGGATGACTGATGTTTGTCACTGCTGGAACAGACCTTAAACAGCTG